CCCATTTTCCTTCTGCTGCTTCAGTCTGGCCCTGCTTGCCTCCTTCCCCCTGCCTCTTGCCCCCACTCTCCCCTCCCTGCTACTCCCCTCTCCTGTCCACTGCTTTGAAAGATAATTTAAAATTAATATTCTGATGCAAGAGCATAAACTTACCAACAGAAATATTAAATATGTATTAACTAAAGAGGAGAATTGATTAAAATAATAGGTACTGGCATGTGATTTTGGATAATCCTAGTGAAATTTCCCTTAAATTTAGACTGTGATTGGAAAGAACTCAGGTTTTTATCTAAATCCTAAACCACTTGGTTTAATATCACTGTGCTACCTAATCTAAACTTTTCAAAAGGAGTTTCATTATCAGCATTGCTCATGATTTAGTTCTGTGAAGTAACGTTTCCCACTGTGGGGAATAAATAATGCTTTTGGGAATCATCAAAAATGAAACTTCCTACATTCAGAGCAACATTATAGAGTTAACATAGCTGTTCTGTATTTGGTCAGTAAATGTTCCTGCACTGTTTCAAACCCATTTTCTAAAGATGTATTTTTCAGATAAATGTATTCTTATTGTAGTGTTTAAAATACAGAAAGTAGTTTGTTTTTCCTGTATCTTTGTGGCAACATCTTCCAAAAAAGAGGCTATGCAGAATGTCTAAAGATATTAATTCATTCTGGTTTCCAACTGAATACCTAAAGATTTTTCTAGCTGAATGCTCACAAAGACTATTAATTGTAATTTCCTTTTCTTTTTCTCTTCCAGTTCTCAAGAGTGTTAAAAAACAGAGCTTGGCCTACATTTAAACAAGCCAAATCAAAGATCTCACCACTTCATAGCAGTGATTTCTGCCCAACCAACTGCCATATCAATGTGATGGAAGTTTCCTATCCTAAAACCTCAACTTCTCTTGGTAGTGCCTTTGGGGTTCAGCTAGACAGCAGAAAGCATACTTCACATGAGAAAGAAAATAAAAATACTGAACAAGGTAGGCTAGCTTTCTTAAGTAAATTTTAAAGACATATTTTTGCAATTAATCTGACAGAGTTTTAAACTTTAACCAGTTTTGGACACTGTCCCTCATGTTAAACATAACAAGACTTTTACAAGAGCTTACTGCATTTTTAAGTTTATCTAGAAGTTTATGAAAATATCAACATACAATTTTGTACTAGTTTTTTATAGCTGTTGCATAACATGTCATTTTGTATGGCAGAGAGCTGTCATGAACTTTTTCAGTCAAGAAGTGATTAACCAGTTTTCCCACTGCTTTAGCTTCTCAAGTTTGAATTTATAACATAATAATATGAAAAAAAATTCAGGATATATTTCCATTTGTATTAGTTTTGATTTATGTAGTAATTTTACAGGGATCAAAACTGGCATTCAAGGAAAGATGTTAATTTGACCTTATTGGGTTCATATGCAGGTAAACTGAATCCCATGGTTTACATTCAGCATACTATTACCACCATGGCAGCCCCATCAGGACACTCCCTAGGTCAACACGATGGCCATGGTCTGAGATACCTATTAAAAGAAGAGGACTTAGAAACACAAGATGTCTATCAGAAATTGCTGTGCAAATTGCAGACTGCATTGAGAGAGGTGGAAACATGTGTCTGTCAGATAGATGAGTAAGTAAATATTACCATCTGTATATGTCCTTATCTTTTCTATATTGATAATTCAAAACTGAGTACTGCAAAAACTGGAAGTACAAAAAATTAACTCTAATTTTTATGGGACCAGTGAATAAAGCTAGTCAGGATTTTTTAGACAAAGTCTATTTTTTCATGAGAAAAAGTCAGTTAATCAAAACTGACACTTTTTGTGGAAGCATTGGTATCTATGGGAGTGCTTTTCAAGTCCAGAAAGGAATTTTGTGAGAGATTTGCACCATATTGGTTACAATACTCACCTGTGATATGGAGCTCCAGCGTTATCTCACTACTCTGCTTGATTCAGACCAGGAACGTGAACTTGCTCTTCCACATTGTATTTAAGTATTGGATTATTGGTATTAAACCATTGGATTATTGGTAATTGTAGGGTGATGTGTGCTGTCTTTCTCTCCCTCTGGAAATTTATAAAAAGTTTTCTAAGTCCCATTTGTGTTCTGATGGGGATAAAAAACAAATTTTGAAACTTCTAGATTTTTACTGAAATATGAATTCATGTTTTTCAGTCAGTGCTACAGTTGAGGGTCTTTAAAACTGAAACTCTGTAAATAGTTCAACAGTAGAAACTATTTTTCATTACAAAAAATTAAGTTAACTTAGACTGGAAAAAAAAAGAAATCATGATCTTCCAAGATGGTAAATACTTTTGTCCTGTCTAACTGATATCAAGACTGGTAGACGTTTCCAAGCACTGGCTCTATATCAATGGTCAGAAAGAAAAATTATCAATCCTTGTGTTGGAATCGTAATGGATCTCAACTGCTTGTCTATGGATTTTTTTTAAACATATATCCAATATACTGTGATAGGTTTGAAGTGGTTAAATGTAGCCTGGAGTGTTCAAAATTAATGTAAGAGACAAACAATCTCCCATTTGTATGTTTTCATTTAAAGTAATTTTGCTGATTAGTCATTCTACAGAATAACTCATTGGAAGTATAATCATTTCATTGAGTGCTGACTGAACCAAAAAAACCCCAGTACTACAAAGTCCTAAAATTGGCACTGTTCTTTAACATGATAAGATGATTAATATGTTAAATTCAGAGACTCAGTTTTTATTTCTAGAGTATACATTTAACAGGCTGGAATTGATTTTCCTGCTACTCCTTACAGTTTGTGATGTAAAACCTCAGGAACTTCTCAGTCTTTCTTTTATACAAGCAGGACTGATTTCTGTAACAATATAAATATTCTGAGTCATACATTTGCAAATATAAACAAGGCACAAGGGAGTCTGGTTAAGTTTCTGTTTATTAAAGTCTCTTTAAATTGTATTAATAAGAAAACCTGTTTAAGGTGCACAGATTTATTTGGTAAGGCTTTTTTCTTTGGATTTTTTAAACTTTTCGCTGCCTGCAAGAATCACTTATCCCTTATGGACTTTCAGTGGACTACCAGAGTTTGTTTTAGAGTTAAAGCAGTTCTATATAGGAAACAGAATTCTCAATAGACCTACTTAAAAGCTCCGAACAGGGAAAAACAGGGAAGATGGAGGACAGGAGTGTTGGGATGTGAACTGTTGGTATAGTACACCATGTACTGCATTCAACATTGTTATGACCATTAATTAGTTCTCAAGAGAAGAGAGAGAATGGTGAGAAACAAAGCACGCAAAATAATTGAATCACTGTGCTTTAATCAAAATGTTTTTATTTCTGATTTAAAAATGATGCATTTAATAATAACCATAACACTTAAATATACTAATTCATGAACTTTACAAAGACAGCAAAAAGATCCTTCATTTGCTGTCATGGCCTTAAAGCATGCATCAAAGTAACTAATATTTGCTGAATTACATATAATTAATAATCATTGTTGTATTTTTCCAGGGTATTAGGTATTGTACAACAGTGTCTGTTAGGGTCATTCATGCACCTTTTTTGTAAAGGGGAAGATGTGATGGAGGGGACTACAGCTTTGTCTGATCCTTTCCTATTTTATGTCCTTCTGACAAAGTATTTAGCAGAATTTTCAGTTTCATTGGAACCTGACAGACCACACTATGAGCATGTTAGCTATGGCCTCAAACTTGCAATCTGTGGGCTGTCAACTGTGTGCCTTTGTGTCTGCACCAACCCAGTCCCCCAACTTTGATGAGAATGAGTTGTATGTCCAGCTAGATTTTAAATCTGTGGAAGCTTTACCCCAGAAACTTATATGGATTTAGTAGGCTCTTGCAAAAAGCCAAATGAAAAGGAGCAGACTGTGAAGGTATAACATAGCAGAGTTCCCCTCCAAAATTGGTACAGAAGTTGCTATTCTAGCTGGCATAGCGCACAGCTTCAGAAAAGTCCATGTTGGAATATTATGTGGGAAAGAGGAACCTGAAGCTGACAGGGAATTATAGACAAAGGCGAAAACTCAAAATACCACATGCACTTATGAAGGGCTGCATACAGGGGGAGGAGTCACTATTTCACAAGGTGCAATCACTTCTATCTTTTGGAACAAGAGAAGAAGTTCCATTTGAATTTCAAGAAAGAGTTAATTCTGGATTTAGTCATGCAAGACTTGTTTCTTGTTTCTGACTTGAAAAAGGAGTAGTTCCATATTTCAGGATGTGGCACATAAGAAATATTTTAAGTTTTTTCCTGGTGCTATTTATACCAGAAAATTTTTTCATTTTTCCCTTTCAAATTCTGTACTATTCAGAGTATATACTAAGGTCTTGGCAGTGATAGTGGTTTACCTAAGAATAAATAATAATAGTCTGTCCATATCTTGGTGACTGACTAAGTGATAAAACACTTAAATGAATTTTAAATGCTATTCATCCCATTCTTTGTCTCTTCCTTGCTCTTGGTCTTGATTATGGGACAAAGAGAGAGACTTAGACTTTGCTGTGTGCAAAGATGTTTGTATTTATGTAAGTTTCAGATCCCTATTGGTTCAGAATACTCGCTTTCTATGAAATATGTGGGATGATCCATTAGTTTGGTTAAGGAACACTGCTATTTGCAGTTCACCCCCTATTGAAAAACATGCTTTTTCACACCCTAAGGTAACTACATTTCCAAAGAGATTATTAAGAGTGACCCATCATGTCACCACTCCTCTGTTAGCTAAAAATGTTGGTCAGATTAGAGTTAGTTAGGAATTTTTGCCAAAATATTACTATTTTATTTGAGTTTTGATTAAACTTTCACTGGGAAAGATTTTGGAGGCCCAGGATAGAATCTGTAGTCAAAACCAGACCCACTTCAGAATAGCTAAAAGGCTAGTGATACTTATCTGGAAGATCTAGGAGAACCTTGCTTTGCCTCATTCAGACCCACCCTTGCTTTTTCAAATCCCAGGTCAGTGCTCCAACAGATTATTCTGGAGGGGTGGTCCCATTTTTTCATCCAAAACTCTGAAAGATGTCTGTTTCATCTCATGCAGTTCTGGTTCAGGCTCTCCATTTGTACTAAAACAGGGGTGGCCAAACCATTGCATGCATAACAGAAGCAGCACAGGCAGCTGCTGAGTGGCATGTGAGCTCCGGGTGCTCAATAAAGAAAGGCACTGGAATGGAGGCAGGGAGCAGAGTGCTTTGTGGAGCAGAGTTGGGGGAATAGTGTCATACCTCACTGCCAATAGCCAGGTTAAACTTTCTCTGGCCTTGCCGTCACCATCACATTTGATGCTTTGGATCCTCACTAGCCATAGAAAATTGTGGCAGTTACAGGACCTGGAAAAAGTTAAGTTGGCTCTTGGTAGTGACGCCTCTTTTTATAATTTTATGAATTACCCTGACATCAACTGGGAGGAGCAGTCGGCTAGGTCTAGCCACTCACGAAGGTTCCTGACGTGCGTACAGGACCTGCACCTCGTGCAGGAAGTACTCGTCCCCACTAGGGGAAACGCCATACTGGATCTGGTGTTAGCCTCTGGGGACGACCTGGTGGGGGAGGTGCTAGTACAAGGGAGGCTAGGGGACAGTGATCATGAAATGATCTAGTTTGCTATTCAGAGAAAGGTGGGGAGGGTAACTAGCACAGCACAAATGCTTGACTTTAGGAAAGCCAACTTCGATGTGCTCAGGGCAGTAGTCAGGGAGGCACTTGGAACCCAGGGTGTAGTTAGTATGGGGGGCCAGGAAAGGTGGTCCTTCCTCAAGGAGGCTATCCTTGGGGTGCAGCAGGACGTAATTCCTCTGAGCAGGAAGGCGGGAAAAGGGTCCAAGAAGCCTTCATGGCTGAGCATGGATATCCAGGCTGGCCTGAGGGCAAAGAAAAAAGCGTACTGGCAGTGGAAGCAGGGGGCAGGGACAAAGGAGGAGTACGCCTCCCTGACCCGAGCTTGTAGGGATTTGGTAAGGAAGGCTAAAGCAGCCCTAGAACTTAGATTATCTTCTGGGATTAAGGATAACAAAAAGTCCTTTTTCAAGTATATGGGTAGCAAGAAGAAGTCTTGGGGTAACATTGGACCCCTCCGAGGCAGGGCAGGGCAGGGCAGGGCAGGGCAGGGCAGTTGGTGATGGATGTGCGAGAAAAGGCAGAACTCTTCAGCAAGTTCTTTGCCTCCATGTTCTGCTGACAATGGGGTGCTCTCAGGTGACAGCGTAGAAAGGCCCAGGAAGGATGCAAGTCCCCTAACTGTTATTTCAGACCTAGTTAAGGATTACCTGGAGGGCTTAGATGT